TGCGCCACCAGGGAAGCCCATACTCATTACCTTTTATCAAACATTTCTTTACCATTTTTATCTATTAATTCTTCCAGAAAAACCCTGAATCGTTTTGTCAAGTTCTCCAACTCCCATTCATTAGCATTTTCATTAGAATGACATCAAACATTAGCTAACTGGCAAGAGACAGCAAATTTATAACGTCCTGTCTTTCATCGGGAAATATATTTCCATTTACTCAAGTCTTTTATTTTTTTAAGAATTTTCTTTATATTGCTCAACCCATTTCTTAATAAAGGTTTTTTTATGCATGCATTTGTGATTGTGAATGTTATTCATAGTACATAGAAACACTTTATCTGTATCCCCATGCCTAGACCTAGCAGATCTTATCTAATGACATACTTTTTGTAGATATATCCTGGTGCTGACCAGATTTTCAAGAGATTTTTCTTTAGCCATTTTCTATGATAAAAACAATATACTACTCTCTAATCTTATTCCTTCTTCTCATGTCACTATAATTTCAGCAACAGATCTCACACAAATGCACTAATTTCTAATTGGCTTGCATTTTCATCCAGAAGCAGTATCATTAACCAAATATTATTACACCAGGGTCAGTTTAAGTGCTTTGGCTTAAATTTTATTTTAGAAACTTAAATTAAAAATCTCTGATTTCCCTAAGAAGAAATTATATATGTATTACAGATATACATAAATTTTTAAAAGTCTACACAAACCCACATTTGTTTTGCTAAGTAAAAAAAGGTAACTATGTATAAAAATAACCCTTAATAGCACAGCAATACTCCAAATAAAATCTTAGGTTTGCCAAATTTCAGATTAAAAAAAAAAAAGGTACATGCTGTATTTGTATATCAGTCTCAGAAATTGACTGTGAAAGGAAGTGAGTTATTATCAGTTACTGTCTACATACTTCCAAAAATGAATTTTAGTGGAAATGATGTTAAAAAATTGATCTGCCCTTATTATTAAGTTTTTAAAAATCTAATCACAAGCTTTATCCGCTGGAGTTATACATCACATGACCTTCATATAGCCTGCTCAGAATTTTCAAAATGAACACTGACTGGCTGCAGGGAAAGACTGACTTGCCAAAAAATAATGTTGCTTTAAAAGATCTTTAGATATAACCACATATGCTAGTCACATATACATAAATGAAAGCTACCTTTTTCTTCACTACCACATTATTTTTTTCATTTAAATTAAAATGAAGCCATGTGCATATGGAAGTTTGAATTTAACAAATCACAATGCAGTTATGATATTTAATATCCAAGATAAAACAAAAAAATTATTTTCCATTATTTTGTGTTTATAATACCTCTTATGCTTAAAGCATGGGTGCCCCTTATCTTGTATCTATTTTAACAAGAATTAATCTATTATTCGCAGGTGCAGGACCTATCAAGAACGAATTGTTCAGTTTTTCAGAAAGTTAACTGCTTACCTAAGAATAAGGCTTATGTTTTTAGTTTAGTTTTTTTTTTTTTCAGTTTAATCCTGGGCTGAAATTGACATAAATCAAACTGATATTTAAAAAGAATGCTCAATCTAGCTATTTCTCCTACAGAGCATTCTTACCTGATACATTTTGCTATATTCTTTACATCACTGAAACAGCCATGTTGTTGTAACATAAACAATATATATTTTTAAAAGATTTATTTTTATAATTTCTCATAAGTTGTAGCTATGTCAGAAAGATGATGACTCACCCTTATGGTCTGTTCATTACCTAAATGGGTCTTGAAATAACTGTTATTTGAAGGATATTTAACCTCCAAAACAGGGGTTCTCAAACTTCCTGGTCTCAGGATCCATTTATACTTCAATCCCAAAGATTTCTGATTATGTGAATTAAAATAACCATCTTACAAAACAAAACATTTAGTGCAAACATTTTTGTTAATTTTTTAAATGTCTGGTTTAATAAAGACAGCTGAATTTTCATATATGTGTCTATATTCAATCTGTTACAATATGTTTATTGGTTGAAGTATATGAATAAAATCTCTCCTCATACAGATATGTGGTTGGAAAAGGGAGGAGTATTTTAATAGCCTCCCTTCTTTGATACTATACCCAAACTCAACAAATAGTTTCTTAAAAATTATCTGCAATATGGAATATAAAATCGTATCAATGTATTTTTGTACTTTATTACATTAAAATCCATTAGTCTAATCTGCATTTTTGAATGGAACTTTTATCCAGACATCATGATCATTCAGAAAATGATTTTCCAAGATAACAGTTATCTTTCAACTGTTGACATCATTTATTTATTAAATACCAAAAAATTACATCATTCATATCCCTACCAATCTCATTAGAAAAGCCTTTTAGGGACTTCCCTGGTGGTCCAGTGGTAAAGCATCCACCTTATAATGCATGTGATGTGGGTTCGATCCCTGGTCAGGGAACTAAGATCCCACATGTTGTGGGGCAACTAAGCCCACGTGCCATAACTACTGAGCTCATGCACCTCAACTAGAGAGCCCGTGTGCCACAACTACAGAGCCTACGCGCTCGGGAACCCACACGCCACAACTACAGAACCCACACGCCACAACTAGAGAGAAGCCCGTGCACCACAACGAAGAGCCCATGTGATGCAAGAAGATCCCACGTGCCACAACTAAGACCCAACAGCAGCCAAAAATAAATTAAGTAAATAAATAAATAAAGTAAATCTTAAAAAAAGAAAAGCCTTTTAAGTATTCGAGCAGCTGGCAAGCTCACAATGGCAGACACACGTTTTCTAAAATCTAATTTTTACTTAAAAACTGGAATTTTATCACTGGCAACAAATACTAACAATTGCTTGCTTGAAGAGACAGGTTCATTTTGTTCATTTTTAAGAAAATGTCTACCAAGTACTCACTTCTGAATAACTACAATTTGTCTGTTGCTCTTACAAGTGAAAATACTATGCCATGAAAAAAAGTGGCTAGTTCAGTGTGCATCTCACACAACTGCTTTTTCTTGAGAAAAACATATTACTTTGGTATAAAGCAGAAGCGCTTTATGGGTACTTCCCATTTCTTCACACCGAATATTAAACAGGTTAAGTTCAAGGGTCAAGATATTAAAAATAAATAATTTTGGGCTTCCCTGGTGGCACAGTGGTTGAGAGTCCGCCTGCCGATGCAGGGGACACGGGTTCGTGCCCCGGTCCGGGAAGATCCCACATGCCGCGGAGCGGCTGGGTCCGTGAGCCATGGCCACTGAGCCTGCGCGTCCGGAGCCTGTGCTCCGCAACAGGAGAGGCCACAACAGCAAGAGGCCCGTGTACCGCAAAAATAAAATAAAATAAAATAAAAAAATAAATAATTTTACATCTTCATCAAGGATACTCTTATGCAATGATGGCTTTAACCTCGGGTGCACAGGACAGAAGAAAACAATGCCTGTTAGTATAGTTTGGGGCCACTGCCTCGACTACAGCAAGGCACCAGCAGTTTTACCCTCTGTTGTTTCTGTATCATTAGTGCAGGTATCTTAGCAGTATTATGAAAATAACTGACTTTACAGACCCCCAAAGGGTCTCAAGGATCCCCAGGGTTCTGTGGACCACAGTTTGAAAACCACCACGTTAGACTATAAAGGCCATGTGTGATATCAAATCTCAGAACCACAAAATAGAATGCAAAGTTGTGAACATGTATATGTGTTTTTTTTTTCCTGAGAGGGAATCGCTAGCTTTCAACAGATTCTCAAAAAAGATCTGTGACCCAAAGGTTATCATGTTAACTTGGATTTAGAAATCAACCAAAACTCCACTATTAAAACACCACTATCAGTCAGGTTTCACTGATTTCTTTCACAAAATATATATTTCTGCGCTGAAAATATTCTGTGACATAGGGGGAAAATGACCATGAGCTCCTAACAGTGATTTGGGAAACTCCATAGGAACTCTGAGTATTCAGAGGGGAATCCAAATGCACTTTAAATGTGGTCTCTTGCCATTCTTAAGGCTTAAATATGATTATTAGATTATTAAAGATAAATACAAGTCAAAAAGGAATTTAACTGGTTTATGACTTTTCACATAACACTGTATTCCAAAGCAAATATCAAATTGTAATTACATTGTTATTTGTGTGATTATTTGTTTACCATCTGTCTCCCACACCAGACTTAGCTTTTTGAGGGGTACATATGTTTTGTTCATTTTTGTATCTCTTGCACCTAGCTAGCACAGTGCCTGCACATAAAAGATCCAAAATAAACATTTGTTGAAGCAATTAATTAATGGATAAATAAACCTTATGAGGCGGGTAGGGCAGAAACAGAATGATACAGAAGAACCACCACAGGGGAAGAAAATTTCTCAACTGGGAAAATGAAGTACACCTGTCCATGACAGCATGACTGCTCAATTTTGCTCATGGAATAAGGATTTTCTGCCCTCCGTAGGTTATAGTCATTCAACCAAAATTTACTGAGCACCTACTATGTGCCAGGCAATTTTCTAGGGAGTGGGGCTGCTGCACTGCACAAGCATGCATGGTTTCTGGGTTCAAGGAGCTGACCTATGTTTTTCATCTATACTAAGATGCACTGTATTTCATCATTTTAACGTCTCTGAGAAACGCCTCTTGCAGTGCTGTCTCAAGAATTTAATTGGCATTTTTCTCTTCTTTTTTAGTGGTACATACAATATTGGGGCCTCTTACAACTGAGAATGATTTACCTAGATTTAGATTTAATGTCATGTTGTGAATAGGAAATGTACTGGATGAGCTTTCAAAGCCTTGTTCTGCTAAAAGTTTAAAAAGTGCATAATTAAGTACTTCTTTTTAAACGAAAATACAGACAGTTGATTAATTTGTACACTTCCTGAATCTATGAGGTGCACACTGGTTTACTTCTTAAAGTAATGTGAAAGGCCATCAACACTTTCTTTACTTTTCCTGGTCAAAACAGCTGCCATTGATTTGTAAACAACAATAATGCTATAAATGGATTTCGGTGCCACAAACCTTATTGAACCATTCAGGACTTTTCTTTTTAGCCAATGATAGTGTTGTAACAAATCCAGCCAGCATTCCCGCTGCAGCAACAGTACCAAGGAAAATTCCACCTGTCAAGAGTTTTGGGGTATGGCATGGAGGGTGGGGAGAGGGGAAAAAAAAAACAGAAACCTTACGTTTAAAAAGATGGACACAAGTAAGTTTCAGATACTATTTAAAAATCACTTTTGAATTTCGAGAAACGATGGCTAAGCAGCTCTTGGCAAAGGTAAATGACACCGGCTGGGAAACCTGCGTGACCACACGACCTCTGGTTCCTGAGGCCATGCTAAGGTACAAAATAGGCGCAGGGTCTCTTCCCCTCTTCCCGGGGACAACTGCGTGAAGTTTCTCCAGGGGAGAAAAAAGAGAGAGTGGGAGTTAGAAAAGGTAGGACACGAGAGAAACTGCAGAGTGAATGGGGGAAATGTAGCACATACAGAACAGCTCGCGGGACCAGCCCACGGACTAAACTCAGGGCACCCAAGCGAAGGTCTCCCTGGACGGGGTGTGAGTGGGAATGCCAGCTCCAGCGCAGGCTAGGGCCCCGGGTGAGGTTACCCCGACACCCGCACCCCACCACAGCACACCTTTAACCAGGAAAAGCCGGTCATTAGTGGACGCCGGAGCCCCCAGCCGAGAAGACGGCTCTCCAGTCCCAGCGTCCTCTGTCTCCATGTTTATAAGCCTCCACTACTGCGTCCGGCGCCAACTGGGACCGGGTGGAAGCGAGAGCTAGGCGGAGGAGAAAGGTTCCGCTGCCCCCTCCATCTGTGCAACCTGAATACCGGTCCGGAGAACGACCTTTGCCCCAGAACTTCTGTCCTCCCTCGCGCGCGGGCGGGGAAGCTGCTGTGGCTGCACCCCGGGGGTGGTGTCTTCCAAGGCTGTCAACCAGGGAGGATCATTTGCCTGCTCCAAGGTGATGATCGCTGCACTTTAATATTGTGTCTATTTGAAACACTGCTCAGCTTTGACTCTAGGGGGCAGTGAGGGGTCGCAGATTGCGCCAGGAGCCCAGTACCAGCCTGGTTAGAGACCCTTCAGCTCAGTTTCCCGGTGAGCCGTACACTACGTCTGGGGATTTGGCCGGCGTTAACGTTTCACGATTCTAAAAAGTAGGCCTCAGCCTTTTCTCTGTACTTTGCTGGGAAATTTCCTAACAGTTGTCGCTTTAGGTGTAAGTGACAGGCTTTATCCCTGGAAGACTGCCAGTCTATCAGCTGTGTGGTGATGCGCTTCCTACCCCACGGTTTGATTGATTGTCCAACCGAAGGGATTGGATGGCTAGCATGCTGAACTAAAGTGAATGGCACAACCCCAGCCGGGAGAGCAGAGGAGCACCCTAAGGGGTTGCTAACACGGAGCTTCAAGGCTGCCCCAGAACCGCTCAGTGCCAGGGGCCAACAGACAGACCCGGTCTTCACAGACTGGGAGGCTAATTTGCAAAAGGTGGTGGATTCAGTAAGTGGCCATTGAGAGGAGGAGGCTGGTAGTCACAGAAAATCTTTTCAGCCTCTCAAAGACAGACACATGACATCATATTTTAAAATGAGGCAATCTGTCATTCTTGTTCAGTCTGAACGACAACAGCAAAAGCCATGAACTTCTTGAGATGGGGATGGAGATCTTTATTCATTTTTATATGTCCCGGCTCTCAGAGTGTTAACTGGTCATGTATAATAAATAAATGTTGGATGAAAGAGTAAATGAATGCATCCGTTAAAATGCAATTAATAGCCCAAACCTGGGCTCTGGTCCTAAACCACTTCTCAGCTATGTGAACTTGATTAGGTTATTAGGCTCACTTACCTCAGTTTCCTCACCTGCAAAATACAGAAACGGATAGAACCCACCTCATAGTATTGCTGTAAGAATTAAATAAAGCAGTGTAGGTAAAGGACTTAGCATAGCGCCTGGTGCAAACACTTAGTGCATCTTAGCTCTCGTTATTATCCCCTTCGATTCCAGTAGCTGTTTTGCAGCATTGCCTATAGAGATTTTTTAAAATTATAGATGCCCAGAGCCTACCACTGGAGTTGACGGCTCTGAAGGTCCAGGCAGGGCGGTTTAAAAGCTCCATTGAGCTTCTGATAATGAGCCAGGTTGAGCACTACTGCTCTGTTCAAATTTCTGTGTGGGAGAAATCACAAAGAATTTATTTAACTTTGGATTCTTTGGAAGCACAGTGTCAGAATCTGAAAGAGCCCTTTAAGCTGGCAAATGCTGTGCTAATTTGTTGAAGGTCCCAAGACTTAACCTTCCCCCTATACACAATGGTGACCATAGCAGCTAACACTTATTGAGTGTTTTCTGTGTGTCTGGCATTACCCTACGTGCTTCAAATAAATTATCTCATTTAGTTTTCTCCATTGTGGACCAAAAACAAAACAAAACAAAAACAAAAAAAAAAACTGTTGCCTGCCATCCCAGTGAACAATGAATGTTGCCCTCCATCAAGCCATCAGGCACTGCAGCCACCCCTGTGGCGCTCCCTGAGGGCAATTCAGGCTGCAGAAAAACAGGATACTGGCCCTAGTTAGTTGAGGTGCATCTCAAAGGAATAAATTCAATGAGCCCAGACTCTTGCATCTTCCCATACTTAGAAAAGCACTAAAAACATTAACTTGAGATGTCTGGTTTTTGTGATTAGCAGTAATCTTTTGATGCTCGACTACATTTTTGTTTTTTTTAGCAAAAACTCCTAAATATCCTGGCTCCTCCCTTACCTCTTTGGAACAGCTCCTCAGAGCTATCTGAGAGGCTGATTCCCAGGCTATAGTGCTAAGTAAGGTCTTCAAATAAAGCTTTTAGGTTATGCGTTTTCAGTCAACACCATAAACTCTGAGAAACTAACTTGCTCAATGCACACAGCTGTGAAGTAACAGAGCCAGTATTTAAAAGCAGCTCCATCAAGTCCTTATCCGCCCCCCAGGGGTCTTCAAGCTTGAGCTTGGTAATTGGGCTCATCTGCAAGGACTTGTTGACCACAGATTGCTGGTCTCCAATCCCAGAGTTTTTGATTCAGTAGGGCTAGGGTGGGTTTTGAGAACATGCATGTCTAACAAGTTCCCTAGTGATGTTGATGCTTCAGGTTCCACTTGGAGACCGTCTTCTCTCGTCTTACTCACCGTTTACACCTTTAAAATCCATATGAACAGGCCAATGAGCAGTACTGAAATAAAATCAATCATTCAAAAACTCCCAACAAACAAATTCCAGAACCGTTTTAACATTTGGAATTCTGTTCTCTCAAGACTGTTTGGAGAGAAAAAGTGCTGGCTCCTCGACTCTCCCCATTCTTTGCTGTTCCCCCCAAAAAGCACAGAAATTTTTGATTTTAAGGATTATATTACTATTTACTGTTAGAAACAGAAGAGAGATAAAACATCCTTAAATTTAGGAAAGTTACAGTGTCCTGGACTCTGGAGCCTGTCTCCATTTTGAGACAGTAACTATAAACCCTGTTGGACACCTGTCTGTTTTTATTTCTGAGCACGTGGTTCACAAACTTCTATCTTTCTAGCTCCCAAAAGTAAAGGACAGCTTTTCTTCTTCCTATGCGAAAGCTTACTTTCATGGTAAACAGAGGGCAGAGAGGCAATTAAAGCAAACCAGTGGGTAATCTTTGCCTTAGCAAGCAATTTACATTTTGTGTATCCTTGTCAGATACACACCTTGGAGAGGAGGGACTGAGAGCTACTTGGACAAGGTGAGCTTGTGGGGGGATTACAACACCATCCCCCAGCCTACTGTGCCTTGTTCTCTCCCAGGTCCTGGGGGATGGTGACTTCAAGGCCTGGGAAACATGCCTGGTGCAAGGATGGAGAGTCCCTGGCCCGGAGATTAGAACCACATTCCAGGCATCCCAAGTCAGAATGCTTAAAGAAAACATATTTTAAAGACAATGTCACTCGTATTTCTATAGTGCACACAATTAGGTATTTCAGGTGCAATCTGATTAGCTGGTCTGTTCTAGGAACCCTGAAATCTCACCTAGACTGGTTTCTATGGAAATGCATGATGCAAGCTCCAAACAGGAGACTTGCAAACATTTGGAGCACAGTGTCTTTGCAAGACATTGACACTATTTCTAAAACAGCCAGACAGAGCATTCCAAGTTATCACTTCCCAAACGGTGCCCCGTGCAATGTGAGCAGGACTGCCTTTTCAAAGGAAGCATGAGTCCCTTTTAGAAACATGTAATAGAACTGTCTCACAAGCAAAAGAGCATGCTGGGAAAGCAAGTTCATCTGAGACAGCCTCTGTTGCTATTTTGGTGTTTGTTTTAGTCAGCTCAAAGTCCATACCAGTGATGCCTCTGACCACATTCTTATTTCAAACCTTTTGGCCCCTGTAGATTCTATTTCAAATTTTGAAAGCTAGAAAGCTGTTAGCATTGCAGTTCCCAGAATTTGGGTAGCCCTAGCTCTAGCTAATTCCAAACACTGATGGGTTTTTTTCCCCAACTACTTTTTAAAAATATTTCTTGAGAGATTCAATTTCTCCCTGTTTGAAGTATGAGGTTGAATTCTTTTTAAAATCTCATAAGGATCACATAGGACCCTTAGTAGGATCATTCTTCTCACTACTTCCTGATATAAGATAGCTGTCAAAAATGTAGTGCAGAGATTAAAAATTATTGCCTAATTAAGTGTGTACATAGAAGAAAAGATCCACTGGATCTTATACTGATTTATTAATGGAGGTTACCTTGAGCAAAGGGGGAGGTGAAATTTTCTATTCATATCTCTTCTACTTTCTACCTTAATAAGTAAAATGATGACCAAAGCAACATTTTTACATATTTCTATAATGTTTGAATCATTTTTAACAAAGGACTTGTTACTTTTATGAAAAGGGGGGAAAAAAGGAAAGAAAACAATAAAAACACTTTAAAATATGTCACCTTATTTAAAAGATAGATTTTTCTGTCTAAGTAGAAATATTATGTAGGTTTCCAGAGTTACTCACCAGACTCTCTAGCAGGATGTCCAGGGACAACACTCTTGGAAAGCAAGGAAGCAAGAGTGAGAAGCATGTGTCAGAAGGAGAGACTCCAGGCTGGCTGAGAACCCTGCATGGTATTTGCATCCCCTGGTGGACTACCAGAGCCTCTTGAATGCTTCCCAATATCTGCTCTGGATTCCCAAAGTTATAGCTATTTTGAAGTGCACAACAATCAATATCATGTAATATAAATGGTAAGTATGGTAATAATTACTCGTCAGTGAGCTGAAACTAGACTTCGAAAGCTTGAGTCTCATTACTCACTTCCAGCATTTCATTCCGCATCTCTTAGAATTGCAGAGTCTGTAACTCCCAGATTGAATAATATAAGTCTATCTTCATCACAGTAAATGAAATTTGCCATTACAGGTTCCTTCCTTTCATTTTTTATTAGAGTATCTTTTTAATTTTTTTCTACATTATCAGTTGAGTTGTTATTGTTAGTGATAGACCAGAAATCTTTTTGAAAGGTGTTATCTTTCAGCAACCACTAGATATTTTCTTTAAAAAAAGTCATGCACATAATTTCTTTTAACTGTGTTCCTCGACTTTCTTGTGAGGATCAAATATGATCACATTTGTTCAAGTATTTTGTAAATTGTCAAGTATTCTGGCAACTTAAAGCATGATTATTTTTAGTCCTGTGTGTGTATCCCAGTCGTAGAAAACCCTTTAACACTGCCAAAAGTGAAATATCTTTCCACTTATGCCAGTATTATCACTTTGCCAGTATTTCATAT